GGCACCAGTCATCAAGGGAGTTACGGCGCTCCCGGGAAAATATTCGTTATGAGCCACACTCAAGCCAACCTTGGAAACGAGGAGGACCTCGGAGAAGGAAATCCAATCCCAGAAGACGAGGACCATGTGGACCCCACGGAAGAAAACCAAGAAAGCGAATACTGTCTGGGATAAACCGTCACACCCCCTTGTAACCACCCCCCTTGTGGTAAAAACCACTTACTTAGCTTAGCTATTTCGGAATTACTATGAACAAAGATTTTGGTCGAATTTCAATACCACCACAAAGGTAAAACACAAGTTATATCACCGACCCAACCCTTCCCCCACTAAAGGACAAAATAAGGAAAAAGACAAGGACCACACCATCAATAAATATTTAATGTTACCATTAGGAATAGAACCTTGGACCTCTCCTCTACAAGTTAAAGCCCTAACCACTAGCCCATGGGTGTTTCTTGAAACTACAAGGGAACACCCCCTTGTTAAACCCCTCCAAATCCCTAAAACCCACAAAACCCCCAAATCAAAAAACCCTTCTTCTCCTTCCTCCTCTTCTCCTTCCCCATTCCTTCCCTTCTTCCCCCTCTCACGCACGCCACCACCCCCCCCCCCTACCTAGAAAATCACCAGCCACCCACGTCACCACCCACCGGACGCCGTCGCCACCCGGCCGCTCCCCGACGACCTCGCGCCGCCGCCCCGCCGTCCGAACTGCTCCGCCGGAGGTCACCCGCAACACCAAGGACGCCGCCCGCCAACCACCCGAACTCCGCCCACTGCCATCGACGCCCCACGCCACCGAAGACCTCCACCGCCTCGCCGAGCTGCCGTCGAGCTTCGCGCCACCGTCGCCACCTCACGGCAGCTCGAATCACCACCGGAAAAGGGACCCGCCGAAAAACTTCACCGGAGACCCACCGGAAAACTCGCCGGAAAAGTGCCACCAATCGCGATGCCAAAGAAACCCCTCGGAATCCGCACCCCGGAGTGGAGCAATGCCGATTATACTGTAATCGGAGGTAAAGCACTTGAACCCGACCAATTCTCTCCGGAATTGGTTGATATGCTTAGACATCAAGGGCTCTTAGATACTTACCTCGCCATCAAAGGAGATACATACCCCGACTTGGTGAAAGAATTCTACCAACACCTTGTGGCCACCAAACGAGGTGACAAAGTAGAAATCACCACCAAGGTCCGTGGCAAGGAAATTGTGCTCTCCGAAGGCCGATTGGCCAAACTCTTGAAATTGACCACCACGGGTGTGTCTAACTATGACCGGAAGGGGTGGATTGATACCCAAACCACGGGGTATAAGGACTACCTCGGGTACCTACTCGGGAAAGAGGAAGGATTCACCTCGGCCACACGACCGAATAGAAAGTAGCTATCGGCGGAACAAAAGATATTGGTTATGATTGTAACCGATAGCCTCTTGCCCACGAACAATAAAAGCAAAGACATGGGGAGTTTAGAGTGCACCTTTGCCTACTTCTTGAAACACAAAATCAAGTTCAACCTGCCGGCCCTCATGCTAAAACACATGGAGTTTTGCAAATCGAGCAACCGGCTTAGCCTACCCTACGGGATGATCCTAGGTTGGATCATGGAGAAAAAGGGGGTGGATCTAAGCCACACCGAGGTCAAGACCACAAATGGCATGGTCTTTAACGCCCAGAACCTACGCCGCAATGATATCTACTACACCGAGGGAGGACATTACCTCACCCTCGAAGAAATTTGCCAAAAACCCGAGGATGAACGAAGAGAATTGGTCGACCAATTAGATGTCTCCAACAAGAAGCTCAAACGGGCAATGCAAGATTGCGGAATCCTGGAGGGAAATGAGGACCAGGAGGAGGATGACGAGCCCAACCCGTTGGTGCAACCACGATCAGGAGGGAACCCGAGGGAGCAAGACGAGGGCTCAATCAATGAATGCATACTTGCACAGCTCAACCGGCAAAACCAAATCATGGAGGAAGGGTTCTCATCCTTGATCCGTACGACACACGCACTAGATCAGAGGGTGGCAGCAATCGAAGCCACCTTAGGCACTCGCGGGACGTCCAGCTCAGGAGCAAGAGACCGAGGTAGACCCAAAACCTTTCTATCACAACACCACCAGAAACCCAGTCTACCCCAGCTAAGGCAAAACATGGGGCCACATTCCTAACCGGGAGGCCAAGATGCGGAATGCCTAGGGGGTGAAAGAATGGACTAACGCACCGGGCTTCGGGGACGAAGCCCCTCGTAAGGGGGGGAGAGTGTAACACCCCGTGTTACGACCCCTAAAACCAATTAATTAATTAACCCATAGCCCAAGAAAAAGAATAAATTATAATAATTAATTAGGGAAAAAGGCCCACCATAGTCCACGGGCCCTTATCCCTAAACCCAATCCTTAGTTCCAAAAGGAATAGAATTAGCAAGCCTATAATATTAGTTCCTAATCAGGGCTCCTAAATATATAAATAAGGGGCTTAAGAGGCACCTAGAACCCTCCCACAAGAATAACGCCCCACCACCCCAAAAAGAGCTCCAAGAATCCCCTTAGAAGAAATCAAGAAAGCAAGAAAGCTTAAAGAAAAACCCTTCATAGCCAAGGAATTAATTAAGGCTAAGAGGTAACCCATGTATCAACAAAACCTATTTTCATAGCTATGATTCCCCTCTTAGGATTTCCCCATATTATTGTGTATTGATGATTTGTGTTATTATTGATGATTGATGGGATAATTCCATGGGTGATCTTGATGATGAAAGGTTCCTGATAATTATGGTGTTCTTGATGATTATATGACGTTCTTGATGATTATATGATGTTCTTGATGATTGTAGGATGTTCCTGATGTTTATATAATATTCTTACCGAATCTTGATATTAGAAGATGAATCGTGACCTTGTTAATTTAAAATTGATTAGAACCCTAGGTTGTATCATATGGAATTATTCTTGGTATATTGGGTGGGAATTCGCATGATTGGGTGTTTATTATGTTTAGAAAAGCATGATAGGTTATGTGCCGTTTGTTTCCTGATTTTGATCCGTTAATTGTCTACGTGTGTTATCAATTGCGTTTGAAAGTGTCTAAGCATGGTTTCGGGTTCCACAAAGAGTCCCGGGGCGTTTTTGATGAAAAGAGTCAATGGGGGGTAGGTGGGGGTAGGGGACCCGCCACCTACCCACGGCCTCCTTGGGCAACGCCGGCAGCGGGCAGCTGGCGGGCGGGCAGCTGCCCGGAATGGCTGCCGCCGGCGGGTGAACCCTCACCCACCGGCTACCCGCTGGTTTGCACCCCAATTGGGGATTTTGGCTTCCCCGTTTGATGTTCCCCCGACCCCCGTGGTGTCCAAACGGACTCCGTCTATCGTGCCTATGTCTAGTTGGATATTTCGGGTACCGTTCGTAGGTTGTATGAGTCTTATATATTGCATGCTAGTTGAATTGGTATCCCGTTGACCTAGGTGGAAGAAGCATGAACCCCTTAGGATTATTCTTAGTATGTGAAGGATCACGCATAGGTTTTGTTATACGTTTTCTCCCCCTTCCCAATGTGTTAATGTGGGTTGCATGTGCTTGCTATGTGTTATGTGTGCATGATACCCTAATTCGGTTGCGATCGGATTGGTTATTCCTGAGCTGCGGTTCAGAAGCTGGCTGCGGTCAGATTTACACTCTTGGGCTGCGGTCCACCGTTTGGTTGCGATCAAACGTTTCCACATGAGCTGCGGTTCATACTTTCCTGGCTGCGGTCAGATGACATTCTCTTGGGCTGCGGTCCACTGTTTGGTTGCGATCAAACATTATGATGAGCTGCGGTTCATCGGTCGGTTGCGATCGACCCCTCCGTGTTGCGATACGGGGCAGGGTGCTGCAGGGCCGTGTCAGAGCTATATGCGCTGACCCTCATGTATGGGCATGCGATTGGTCCTGTGGCGCCAACAAAGTGTGCTATGTGTTGAGATATGGATGAGTTGTGATTATGAGTATCTTGGGGGTGGTGACTATGGGATTTATGTTGGGGATTGTTTACGTTGGGTTATGATTATTAATGGTGCTCAGCCTTATCTGTCTTGCCTGTTGTGGATTGTATAAGCTTGTTATAACTGTTGCTTGTGTCTAGCCTTATCTGTCGAGTCATCCCCGGATTTAAAAGCTAGAGTTCGTAGGATATATCTTCATGCTCAAGATGGTTTTCGTATATCTATATATATCTCTATATGTATTGTATTTCAACGCGTTGGAGTGGGTTACCAGCATCTCTCGCTGAACAGATATATTTGGCTTTCAGGCACAGATAATTAGAGCACTGGAGCGCGCTAGACTGGAGCGTAGAAGTAGAATAGTTTCCCTTTCGACCTGCGTGCCATGTTATGCATTTATATTTCGAAGGATATTAGTTAGATAGCCTGTGCACCTGGGTTCTCTAGCCCAGGTGTGGCATAGCACCCCGTACGCTTATGTTATACTTTGGGATTTAATGAGACGTTATCCTTGTTATATAAGTTTTAAATGTCCTGAAAATCTGGGGTGTTACAACATTACCCGAAAGCTCTCAAGTGATTGTGAAAGTACTAAAAGCTGCACCAATTCCCCCCCCCCCTCCCCCCCCCCCCCCCCACAAGGGATCAATTGCTTCGGGAATCTATTGAAAGTGACTTCAATAGGGTCATGCAATGGCAAAAATGGTGCACCTCTCCATTACAGACGTTTCTTGAAACATGTGAGGTAATGAAGGATGAAGAAGAGTTTGCCTTAGAGTGGATCGGCACTAGAGACGTCTATGAAGCATTACATCTTGAAACCATTAGACGCGTATACTCCTACAAAGTGACCAATCACTCTCTCGGGAAAGAAAAGGCACCCATATTCATTGAGCTCAATAAGCCACCATTGGATCCAGCTTTCGTTGAAGAAATGAAAGAACTTCGATATGCCTTACTCCTATCCAAAATCAAGACCGAATTGGAATGAACTCATCAAAATGATCCAGCGTGCAATGTCAGCGGATTAAAAGATGACGAAGGAAGGGAAATTGATCCTGAAGATGAAGAAGAAGATGATGGCAAGAACTCCAATTCGGGTAAACATGTTGAAGAAGATAACAATACTGATGAAGACCCTGAAAACCAAGAAGATGAAGAAGCTGATGATGACAAATCAGATGATGAGCAGGCTGACTCTCATGGAGATGATGGGTATGATGATGATGACGAAGGAAAGGACGATAATCATAATGATGATTCAGATGATGATCACGATGGTGATGACCACTCAGACTATGATAGTGACTCTCCTATCCTAGGCAACTTACCCGAACGTCCACAGGCTCCTCGCCAATCTCCGCCGAAAGAAGATTCCACCTATCAGCTACCTCTCGCCATTCTACCTCCCATCCAAGAGAAAGTTCGTGATGAAAACGTGGATGCATCACCAAGTGATGACAGCCGGGAAGCATCACCTCAAATGCCTGATCGTGAACCTAGCATGGACTATCTTAGTCTAGAGCACATCATGCAACAAGTTCTAAATGCTCTTTTTAATGCTGAGGTTATTCACATGCAATATCTTGATCAACAACAAAAAGATAGCAAAAACATAGCTGAATTTTCTGCCAAAGTGGATCACATGATGCAAACCATGCAAACAATGTCTCGTCCGCAACCTGGTCCCTCCATTCCAATTACTCACAGCAATCTTGAACCAGAGCTTTGTCAACAAAGAACCATCCTTGAACGGATTGCAAAAGAACAACATGTTCTCAAACACGCTCATTTCAGTCTCAAAGAACGAGTGGATCTTGGTTGTACAAAGATAGATCTCGGGCATGACAACATGTACAAAATGGCTGAATATCAACTCACCATGCTTGAGTATGTTAAAGATGTTCTTCTTGCGGTTCAAAGTTTGTCCAAATTCTCCAACACCCCGTGCGATGATGCCAAAAAGGGGGAAAAGTCAAGAAAGGATGATGATGACAAAGATGAAGATAGGAACAGATCACCACAACGTAGAAATGAACCAAGGCGAACCAATGATTCTTCCATAAGACATGACGAAAGAAGAAATCCTTCTCCAAGGAACACGAGATCAACCCCTCCAGAATCCAGATCTCGGCAACAACAATCCTCCAGATCCAGACAACAACATTCGGTGAAACCCCGACAATCTTTCGGTTCCAATTCTGAATTCTCGTTCTCTGGAAAGACAAATAGAGAGAAAAGAAATCTTTGTCAAAGGCTGCTACGTAATGAAAATGTTACTATGGATGCCGTAGGAAATTTTCACACATATCGACCATAAGAAGAAGGAAGTGGAAAAAGGTATGAAGGGTACAACATACCCGTTTGGATGAAGAAGAGAGACAATTACTTTCGGCAAGTGCATCAAGCCCAAAGAAATGAAGCAATCAAAAAGGCAAACCGTGATCTTTGGGATAAGCAAGAGGAAGCAAGACCTGTCAGAGAAAAGGAGCTAGTTGAAAGAGAACGAATCAAAGAAGCAATAAAGGATGTCACAAAAGTCAAAAAGGATGCTGAGCCAGGAGTCAAACACAATGCTGCTTTCAAAATTCACAAGGAGTCTGGAAGAAACTACACCGAAGGAATGCATTCATTCGAACTCATAACCTGGTGGAATCTCGGCATAATTGAGGGAGAAAACATTCTTGAAGCATACAACAACTACTTGAGCAGCAACATCAAAGGCGAATATGAACAAATTGTCAAAGAAAGCTCAATCCAGAAGTACAGAGATCACATCAACCGAGACATCGACAAGAAAAGAATGCTCAAGAATCAAAAGGAGAAAGAAGACAAGGAAAGAGAAGAAGCTCGAGTTCAGAAGATGAAACTTTTAGAAATGTAAAGGTTTCTTTTCTTCGTTGCCAGTGACTATTACTTGTAAGTTTTTCTAATTTCTATAAAAGTCACCTTTTGTCTCAATTTTTCTCGTGTTGGTTCTAAGTAATAAAATTCAAAAACTTGTATTATCCTACATTCTTATAGAAGTCATATGTAAACTCTTCTCATTGGCTGTTTTGTAATGAAAAATCCTTTATGGGACATTTATCGGCCTTTTGAAGAGAGTATAGGTTTTGGCATTATCAAAAAGGGGGAAATTGTTAGGAACACATGTATTAGGATTTTGATGATACCAATGTAACTTAGAAGTAGACCCCTAACTTTTTGTCATTTGTTTTCGTTACCTTTGTCTTAGACAAAAGGTACCTTAACTCAATATGTAATTCGTGTTAAGCTAGACAAACACACGAAACTGAGTTAAGAATCATTTTAATTAGGTCTCTTCTTTTGACGAAAGAAGAATAGCTTGATGAAGCAAAGTCACAACTCGTCTGGACAACGAAAGATGATCTTCTCAACAGAAAGCTAAAACCGAAAGAAGCCTTCTGTCCAAAAGACATCAATGACTGTCAAAGACAACACATCTTCTCCCAACTCAAGAAGAATGTGTCAATCTGTCTAATCCAAAGATCATCCTAGGAAGAAAAATATCCTAGAAACGGGAGCACACTTACCAAGGTGCATTAAATGCCAAAGTACTACTTTTTAGTGCTAGAAGACAAAATAAGCAAAAGTGCTTGTCTCCAACGGCTATGAAGTACAATCGCATTAAATGAATCCATAAATGCACAAGGCTCTCCGGTTAATAACCACTGGATTATAGGTTTGAAATGCCATCTCCCTCCAACGGATGGATTTCTTCTCATTTATAAATACACATCTTCTCCATGTTAGAAGATGCTGGTTTTCTGAACGAACAATCTCTCATTTACAAAAGCTCTTTAAATTAAGAACACTCTCTCAAAAGCTTTTGTAATCCAGTGATTCAAGGTGTGATTCTTTGTAGAAGCAAATCTGATATCATTCACAACCTTGAAGAAGTCTTGCAACTTTGTACACGCTGCTTATCCATCTAGCCACCAGACAGTCAAGACTTCACCGTGTTGGAAAACTCAAAGATCAATCTCATTCAATCCTCAACTCTGAAGAAGAAGTTAATAGAGGCGGAGTAAACTCTAGGAGTTGAAAAACCTTCAAGTAGCTGTCCGGCTTAGTGTTCAAGGAAGCTATCTTGGTGTAATTTGTACTAAGGAGTGATAGTGCAAACCTTTCACAAGTTGTGAAAGAAGAGTGGAGTAGGCACAGTTAGCCGAACCACTATAAAAATCTCTTGTCCCTATCTCTTTACTTTTCAGCGTTTACTTTCGTGCATTGCATTTCACTCGCCCTAATCGAAAAGTTGTTCACAATATCAAACAGTGCAAAGAAACCTAAAACCTATATTACATATCCGCTGCGCAATAAGCCCGAAAGAAGCTATTTTCGCGAGAAAACGAATTGAGTCTATTCAACCCCCCCCCCCCCCCCTCTAGACTCTCCTTTCGACCCTACTGGGACCAACACTCTATTTTTCTCTTTTGCAACTTAAATAATTTCCCGATCATAGTCTAAGACTCTACTAGACCTATAAAATAAAATTGGGGGTTCTACAAATACATATTTGGCATATCAAAACCATTACACTTTATTCCTAACATTCTTCTCAACAAGGATGTCACGATTCGAATTTTGTTGCCATAGTGATTCCAAAGCAGGAGAGAGCAGAATTGGCCTGAACATTGTCTCCTTGGATACCTTAGAGGTCTTGGACTTAGACGGTGCTGCTGCCTTTAGAGCAGGAGCAAGGGCTGGAGGAGGAGCTGGAGTAGACATGCCAGTCCTGGATCTAGTACGCGAAGCAAGGCCAGTCAAGCGATGTTCAGAACGTTTACTTGGACGAGTATCAGATACAAATTCAATATCGTCGGATAAATTCAATTTTCTCTTAGCCGCTGGAGCTGGGACAGGCGCAACTGGAGTTTCATCTGGATCAGTGACTTTAGCCTTCCCTTTGGCCTTAGATGTCGCAAACGGCACAGTGATCACAGGGACAGCCCTTTGTGCACGGGCAGTGTTGGGCATATTGACAATGATATCTGACATAATGGCTGCTTGAACGGAGGGATCCTCACGCTCAGAGACTATGTCATGAATAGAAACCCTAACATCCTCTGGAATAGAGCCTGGAGCAGAGGTAGGATCAACAGCTAGAGCAGTGACTGGAGCAGCAGCTGCAGTAGAAGCTGTAGCAGAGGCTGGATCTTACGAGTGCTCAACCATTTTGGGAATGGCCTCATCTGAACGTTGTGGTAGGGAACCTGTGAAAACAATTGTAAACAGAGGCACAAAAGACAAACCGACAGAGGGATCCTAAGATAAAAGAGCATAGCAACAACACAAAGCAAACCAAACACAACCAAGGCGATAAAAGCAAATTAGAACACAAGGATGTGATGCATGCCTAGGAAAAAGCAAGAAGTTATTGCTTCCTAAGAGGATAAAGAAATCAAACCGTAGATTGAGCCCATAGCTGTCGAGCCCGAAGCTCTGCCTGAAGATCCTCTTCGTCGAACACCTCATCAAGAGGCCAGGGATCATCTGTGATGCCCGAAGCTCTAGCAAACATCTCTTTCGAGTCTCTCACGGATAATTCTTCCATTAGAGATGGACGTCAAAGCAGAGTCGCAAGCACACGGCGGGATGAGAGATCCGAAATCGGAGCTGTGCCACGAAGGATTTGGCGATGAGATCCAAACGCTCATCCTCAGTAAGGTAACATAGGAAAGGATTGAGATCAGAATGGCCAGCCATTCGAAGATCTGATGGACGATTTTGTCTAGGATTCGAATATGAGAAAGGAAATTTGAGAAGGATTTAAGGGAGGAAGGAGAGATTTTAGGGATTTGAGTCTAAAAAATGGGGAAGGAGACGGTGGTGTATAACAGCTAGGAGAGAGAAAAAAATAATTAAAAAAATGAGTTATTTAGTGCGGTCTAAAAGTTTATTATTCGGTATGGAGTACTAACTGGAGCAGAGAGCGGATCTGGAGGATTTTCTGTATTAAACATGAAGAACAAAAAAAAACAAACACAAAACAAAGAAACACAAACAACTTTATTGTTTCAAAAAGAAAAAAAAAAAAAAACAAACTTATATGGAAAACCTGCACATTCCAAGAGCGGCCCGGAGTAACTCAAATCTTATGTTATCAAGAGGTTTTGTAAATAGGTCAGCTAGATTTTTCTCCGTTGAAATGTACTCCAGATTGATCTCCTTGTCTTCTACCAATTCTCTTATGAAGTGATGTCGTATTTCAATATGTTTAGTACGGGAGTGCTGAACTGGGTTCTTGGAGATGTTGATAGCACTTGTATTGTCGCAATAGAGTGTCATGCATTCTTGATGTAGACCATAATCCAGAAGCATTTGTCTCATCCATAAGAGCTGCGTACAGTAGCTACCAGTTGCTATATATTCAGCTTCAGCTGTGCTGAGAGATATCGAATTTTATTTCTTACTTAGCCAGGAAACTAAGTTTTTTCCAAAGAAGAAACAACCACCAGAGGTACTTTTGCGATCATCTGCATTCCCAGCCTAGTCGGCATCACTGTATCCTACAAGATTCAAGTTAGTATCATTGGAAAACCAAATACCATAATTGAGAGTACCTTTGACGTATACAATTATTCTTTTCACGGCTTTGAGATGTGATTCTTTAGGGGCAGCTTGGAATCTGGCACATATTCCAACACTCAACATAATTTCTGGACGACTTGCTGTTAGGTATAGTAGACTTCCGATCATGCTTCTGTACAGAGTAGGATCAATTGGCTTTCCAGATTCATCTTTGCTTAATTTTGTAGTTGTAGATATTGGCATTTGTGCTTCTTTAGCCGACTCGAGGCCAAAATTCGTTAGAAGTCTTTTTGCATATTTTTCTTGAGATATCAAAATACCTTCATTGGTTTGTTGAACCTGTAGTCCTAGAAAATAGGTCAATTCACCGATCATACTCATTTCGAACTCATGTTGCATGACTTGAACCAGTTGATCTATAGCACCTCTTTAAGTGGAACCAAAGATAATATCGTCAACATAAACCTGAGCAATTGTAATATGTTTACCTAACCTTTTGATAAATAAGGTTTTGTCAACTCCCCCTCGGTTGTAGCCGTGCTGGAGAAGATACTGGGACAGTCTTTCATATCAGGCTCTTGGAGCTTGTTTTAGACCGTAGAGAGCTTTGTCCAGTTTGTAGACATAATCCTGATGATGAGGGTCTTCAAAGCCTTTAGGTTGAGCGACATATATATCTTCGGATAGATATCCATTTAAAAACGTCGTTTTGACATCCATCTGAAATAGCTTTATCCCTAGGGCACAAGCTAAACAGAGCAGAAGGCGAATAGATTCTAGGTGGGCTACAGGAGCAAACGTCTCTTCATAGTCTATACCTTCAATTTGAGAGTAGCCCTGTGCAACCATTCTTGCTTTGTTGCGAGCAATGTTTCCAGCTGAATCAGTCTTGTTACGAAAGATCCACTTTGTCCCTACAACATTTACACCGTTAGGTTTTGGGACTAGATTCCATACCTTGTTTCGTTCAAACTGTCCGAGTTCTTCCTGCATGGCTTTAATCCAGTGTTCATCAGATAGAGCTTCTTTTACCTTCTTGGGTTCAATCTTTGATGTGTAACACGTATACCCTGCAAGATCAAGGTAATTTCTCTTAATCCCTCTAGTTCGTACCCCGGAGGATGGATCTCCTATAATGTTTTGTGTAGGATGATATTTGTGAGTTCGGATAGCCACTTCGAGTGCTCCAGCATCGGGTTCTAGACCAGGTTCTGGACTAGTAGATGGAGGAGTCGGAGTAGGATCTGATGACGCAGTTTCAGGAGGTTCTGGATTATTTTTGTCAGAGTCTGGAGTAACTTCGGAGTCAGAGACTCTTATAACTTCAGTTATTTCATCTAGTTGATCGTCAACAACCACACTTTTAGGTTCAAATTTTCCAGTTGGGCTTCAGTCCTTTAAAATAAAACACCGTGAGCCAAAAATATGAAAGTAGTTGATATTAGGCTTCTTACCTTTCCATATTTCATACGGAGTGTGATGCGTTCCAGGTCGCAGATATACTCGGTTTATCGTGTGACAGGCAGTGCTTACTGCTTCAGCCCAAAATCTCTGAGGCAAGTCTTTGGCATTGAGTAGTACCCAAGCCATCTCTTGAATCGTTCGATTCTTCCTTTCAACAAAACCATTTTGTTGTGGTGTTTTAGGGGCTGAATATTCATGAGAGATACCAACTGATGCACACTAATCATCAAATACTTGATTGTCGAATTCACGTCCATGATCACTTCTAATTCGTATGATTCGCTCATCTTTCTCTCTTTGGAGTTTTAGGGCTAGGACTTTGAAGGCTTCAAAAGTTTCTGATTTTTCCCTGAGAAAACTGACCCACGAAAACCGAGAAAAATCGTCAACACAAACTAAAGTGTACCTTTTACCTCCAATGCTTTCTGTTCTGGTAGGTCCGATAAGGTCCATGTGAATGAGTTCCAAGCAGTGTGTGGTACTAATCATATTTTGAGGGGTATGAGCTGCTCTAGTTTTTTTCCAGCTTGACATGCACTGCATACTCCGACTGTTTCTACCTTCATGTTAGGTAGACCTCTTACACCCTCAATCTTGATTATTTTTTCCAATGAGCGATAATTTAAGTGACCCATTTTTTGATGCCATAGTTTTGATTCTTTTATGCTGGACCTGTAACAAAAGGAATCGTTAGTAAGTATATAGCAATTCTCAGAGGAGCGTTTACCTTCCATGACGCAGTTTTTTGATAGTCTGTAACATTGCAACTGTCCTTGGTGAAGCAGACTTTCCATTCCTGGTCACACAATTGGCTTATGCTTATAAGATTTGCATGAAGGCCTTCCACCAGAAGAACTTGTTTTAGTTTGGGTAGCCCTGTGACATTTAGAGTGCCAATTCCAGTGATCTTTCCCTTAACTCCGTCGCCGAAAGTCACTTCTCCTGTACTTACTTTGATATTGTTTAGGAATTTAGCATCTCCCGTCATATGACGTGAACATCCACTGTCAAAGTACCATCTTTCTTTTCTGTTAGTACTTGTAGAGTGGAAGGAGACATGGCAGACGAAGTCACTTTTCTTCACCCAAATTTTCTTAACAAACGGGGTGATAGACTTTTTGGTGAATTTCTCAACACGTTGGTCTTTGTAGAAGTAGAAGCACTCCGGTTTCGTATGTCCACGTACCTTGCAGTAATGACATATAGGATTATAAAATCTAATCTTAGGTGTCTTTTTTCTTGGAGCAAATTTGACTTGACGTTGAGCTGTACTAGTTTCTGGACTATCTTGATTTGCTCCAGTGCCTGAGTCAGGGCCTGAGGCTTTGACAAAAACTGTAACAGCTTTGTCCTTTCCTCCAAAATATCCTAACCCATACTTCGTGGGTGTCTTTCGACCAGAGCCCAAAATTTGGTCTAAAGTGGATGTGTTGTCCATCATTTTGATCTTGCGTTTGAGTTGCTCCAGTTCCTTTTTGAGATCTTCAATCTCATGTTTGAGAGTTTCTTCTTGCTTGTGACTGTCTTCAATGATACTGTCCCTGTCAGATATTTTAGATAGATACACCTTTTTGGCATTTTCTAGAATGCTAACCTGACTAGACTGGGATTTATTCACTTTTACAAGTATTTCCCATTTAGCATATAGTTTTCTATATTCTACTTCAAGGCGCAGGTAAGCCTTGATCTTCTGATGACACGTACTCTTCAATTTCATATTCTTCACCAGTTATTGAGTCAGGTACAGTAGTTTTGAGGGCCGTGAAGGCAACAAAGTTCCCGAAGATCTCATCTGGATCAGATCCTAGATCAATTTCTGGTTCATCATCATCACTCCAGGTAAGGGCGACTTTCATCGACTTCTTCCGTCTTAGGTAGGTTGGACATTCAGCTTGCACATGACCATATCCTTCACATTCATAACATTTGATCACTTTGCCTCCGGTTTTTTCTTTGGATTGAGAGTTTCTTGATGTGCCTCATCGTTGGTTGGACGAGTTTGGTTTTTGATTGTTTCTAACAGCACTCGACCCCGATCCTTTTTGATTTTGAAACTTGCCAAATTTTCCAGTTTGTCGTTGTTTTACCTGTTGCAACAATTTAGAAAAACCTTTAGTTAAGAAAACTACTGGATCGTCACTTACCTCGTCTGGATCAGAAACAGCTCCAGCGTCTTCAACAGTAAAAGCTACGGTTTTTCTTTTGTTTCAGGGCCGCCTAAAATTTCCATATCATAGGTTTGTAGACTTCCCATCAATTGTTGTATTGTTTTCTTTTCCCATCCATCGTGCTCCTGAATAGCTGTAACTTTCATGCGAAATCTTGGAGAGAGTGAGCGAAGAATCTTTTTGACAAGTCTTTCTTGAGTGATTGGCTTGCCTAAGATGCTTGCCCTATTGGCTAGTTCTTGTACCCGAGCATAGAAATCGACTATAGTTTCATCATCTTTCATCTTTAGGTCTTCAAAATTGGATTGAACCATTTGTAACTTGGATTGTTTAACCGATGCGGTTCCTTCATAGGTGGTTTCCAAAGCATCCCAAGCTTCTTTAGCCGAATCACACCCTTCAACAATAGTAAACTGACTTTCATGCATTAAAGAGAAAATAGTATCTAAGGCTTTATGATTGTAGATGGCGGTAGTCTTCTCAGTCTCTGTCCATTCTTCCTCTGGTTTGAAGGCTGGAGGATCTCCTGTATTGTCTCCATCTTTGGTAAGATGAGACCAACCAGTGAGAACAGCTCTCCAGACCCTCTCTCCTTGAGCTCGTAGATGCATTTTGGTGCGGGCCTTCCAGTACGCATAGTTGTCACCTGTTAGTTCAGGAGGTGCTCTATGCCGTTCCATGAAGTAAGACTCAATGCACAGTAAGCAACAAATAAACCAGACAAACAGAAATAAAAAGAGATACTGAGATCTTGAGTTCAAAAAACACGTGATAGCCAGATCGGTTAGACTAATATCTTAAGTCCCCGAGCTCTGATACCAATTGAAAAAGCACGTGAGTCTTGAATGCAAGATTTAGCTTAAGAATTTTAATTTTATTTCAATTATAAAGCTGGACTAGATGCAATCCTACTCCAGATATAATAATGAACATAAAACAGATAGCAGTAAAAGAAAGCATGCACCAGGAAATGTTCACGCAGTTCGGAGCCTCACTCCTACGTCTGCGGGGCCACTCACATCAACCCAAATCCACTATGATAAAAAGGAGTACAAGATGAGAGTTAATTACACACTAAAGTATAACCTATAACTACTCCAGAGCCTACTCCAGTGGATCCGATGTGCAGGCGATCTTCATTTCTTCATGAACTGGTTAAGGACCTTTCTTCGCGCTCAGCAATACAGAATATATATGGAATAATTAGCCAAGGAATTTCAGAGTAAAATCAAGTGAAAGAGTGTGTAATCAATGCTAAACAAAGTAGCATTTTATATAGGTAGTAAAGAGATCTTCTATCCACAAATCAAGCACTCTTTCCATTCTTGATTTCAGCTGATCCATTTGATGTAGATCTCCACCATGATAGGGTCTTGACCGAATAAAAGTTTTGAATTAGATGCATACCTCCTGGATTATTTTCTTGAGCTGATCCAGTCAATTACTCCAGACAGTGTGACTAATCCAGCAACTAATCCAGATTACTTTGACAACTAATCTAGGCCAATATTAAGAGGTTTAAATGTGCAACATTTTTACACTTACACCACTAACCAATTCTTCATGAAGCTTTCTTTTGAAAAAAAGGGCAAAGGCGAATAGTTTTCAAAATTAAAGGGATATGCACTACAATTGGTGACAATTCTCTATCCCTTGACTTGTTAGGCCTTATGTTTTAATTTTAAAGTGTGGAAATCTTGGTTGTTTTGCACATGTTTAATTGGCTTTACTTTATCACGGAGGATTAGT